CAGTGTGGGTTTAGAAAGAACAGATCATGCATTGATCAGATTTATTCACTCCGCACTATTATACATAACTGCATTGAATATAATCTCCCCCTGTATGTAAATTTTGTGGACTTCAAGGCAGCTTTTGATTCCATCGACAGGAATTATATTTGGAAAGCTTTCAGTCATTATGGCCTGCCATGTAAATACATTCGAATAATACAGGCATTCTTTAATGGAACTGTTAGTGCTGTTAGACACAATGGTGAACTATCAGAATGGTTTGAAGTAAGTTCAGGCAGTGGCCAAGGAGACATTCAGGGTCCCCCACTTTTTAATGTCTGCCTCAATGTGGCTGCTGAGAGAACAGAAAGCAACAAAGTGGTGTCCCACGGAGCGGTTCTTCAAAGATCTATCAGTCCGCTTGTTGATGATATCACTGTGTTAGATACAGATTATGCAGATGACATGGCTGTCCTGGATAACAGCGAGGAAGGTCTTCAAGAAACAACTGACCTTTTGTGTATGTATGGTGCCCAGGGAGGTCTTAGAATCAATCACAATGGTAAAAAGACTGAGGCTATGGTCATTGGTAAAGCAACCTCTCAACGGCCATACACGAAAGAAGCCACAGTGAACATCACTGTTGAAGACACGCCAGTGCAGCAAGTTAGTGACTTTACGTACTTAGGTACAATTATTTCCAGCGACGGTACTATCGACCGTAAGCTGTCAGCTAGGATTCAGAAAGCTTCCGGAGCCTTCAATCAACTGAGTAATATATGGAAAAACCGCAACATCCAGTCTTATACAAAGATCAGGATTTATAAGGCAGCGGTTTTGACAATATTGTTATATGGTAGTGAGGTTTGGAACACAACCAAAAAGCAGCTACATCGCTTTGAGGTGTTCCATCAGCGTTGCTTGAGGAGAATACTTAGGATAAGATGGCTCGATCGGGTTAGAAACACTGAAGTGCTGGAGCGTGCAAAGATAAATCCAGTAGAGACGTACATAGGAGCAAACCGCCTGCGTTGGTTTGGCCATGTCACCAGAATGCCAGACACTAGGCTTCCTAAGTACCTGCTTAATTGGACCCCTGCCCATGGGAGAAGATCTAGGGGCCGTCCAAGAAAGAACTGGAGGAAATGTTTGCTGGAAGATGCTGCATCGTTTACAGGAAACACTGACATAGACCTAGAAGGAGCGAGCGAGATGGCTAGTGACCGCAAACTTTGGAGGGAGATGATACGTCACAAACGGGAGTTCATTGGTGCAGGCCACTCGAATGATTGAGGAGACCTAATCAAGTACAAGTAAGTACAATGTTTAAAAGTTTAACTAACTTTATCGAGCAGAAAAAACCATCACATACTTCAACACGATCACATACTAACCATGAAAACTATAGCTTCAAAATATAAACTTTTGGGGAAACCTGTATTTGCAGTATTTGTTGATTTTAAAAAAGCATTCGACTCAGTATGCCGTCAAGCCCTTTTCCTCAAACTCGCAAAAAATGGCATACTAGGTTCCGTACAGACTCAACTCTGCACCCATGTCAATATGTTCATTATATGCAAGCCTCTTGATTTATAACTGGAAATTTCTACAATGTCCTCAAAAATATGTACTCAAACTCGTACGCTTACATAAAATTATCTGGTCATCTTAGTAAACGCTTTCAGATACGTAAAGGTACAGAACAAGGTCACCCACCCTCCCCTGACCTTTTTAAAGTTTTTCTCAGTGATATGTCCTGCCTCCTAGATTTTCCAAATTGCCCCGTACTTTCAAATATGACTGTTAGCCACCTGCTGTGGGCGGATGACCTTATACTCCTTTCACTCGATCAGGAAACCACTCAAATGCAACTTAATATTCTCGGTAATTTTTGTAAGGAGTGGGGCATTGAAATCAATGAACTCAAAACTCAAACAGTCATCTTTGGTAAGAAAGCGTTAAAACAGGACGTACGAAACATCAAATTTACACTCAACGGATCTAATCTTGAAATTGTTGACAGTTATTGTTACCTTGGATTTGAACTTCATCAATCGGGTCAAGTGCAGATCGCTCAACAAAACCTTAAAACCAAAGCAATGCGTGCATTTTTTGGCCTGAAAAGGGTTGTCATGCGTTCAAAGTTATTTTTTAAAGCACTCCTTACACTGTTCGACTCTCTCATCAAGCCCATTTTATTATATGGTGCTCCAATATGGACACCCACTAGTACGATCAATAAGTCTCTTTGCAAAACGATTAACTCGACAGAAGCAACCGCTACTAACTTACTTAAAAAATCAGCGCCTCTCTGCAAGAAAGAGTGCATATTTCATTCCTGAAATGGGCATTGGGAGTCCATCGTAAAGCATCAAATGTAGGTGTATGGGGAGAAACAGGAAGAATTCCTCTGATTTATCAATCAATTCACTTAACATTAAATTACTTCAAAAGGCTAAATACAAAATCAAAGTCGAATTCGTTTGTAACTGCAGCCGTAAAAGAACAAAAATCACTAAACTTACCTTGATATCGATACATAAAACCACTCCTTGAACTAGATGACATTTACAAACTAGACCACGTAACCGGGCATCGAATTCTCAATACAAATGCAGCCAACAAAGCCGAGCCCAACCCTCTAAGTGATCACAAATTATTTAAAGACTCCCTCAAAAATCAGTCTAATTTTAGTCAATGTATCAAACCACTATGCAGCAAAAAATATAGAATTCCTAACATCATCAAAGCTCTAACCAATCAATTCAAAAAATGTTGGGAATATCAGAAATCTAATTCTTCTTAACTCTCATTCTATCACTCAATCAAACACACCTTCAACCGAGAGCCCTACTTACACTTGTGCAAAGGCTTCTCTCGTCGTTATAGCACCACAAAACTTAGAATCAGCGCCCATGATCTCCATATTGAAAAAGGCAGATACTCCAACACACCCCGTGAGCAAAGACTATGTGCTTGGTGTCAAATCAAGTATGGGCGTTGATACCATCGAAGACGAGTCACATGTTCTTTACATATGTGACTTGTATTCAAAACAGAGGTCGAAATTAGTCAACAATCTTTCTAAAATGCCACTCATTGAAATAAGCACTGAAATCACCGACTCAAGCAATATCAATGAAACAAATCTCAAAATCCATCTTATGGAAATTTTGTCTCCTTACTCAACTGTAATTCCTCAAAATCGCCAGAGCCTCCATATTCACTGCCACCGTTCACTTAATATTCAACACCCCACAGTATATTCAATTTCAAGAAAGGCGCTCCTATGCTGTCAATTGTGTGTGCACTTATTTTCTTCGCTGCTCCGAAGAGCGAAATAGCTTCACCGAAGATATGCGTCAACGTAATTCAAATGCACGAAACTTAAACAATTTTACTATCAATTTGGTGAGAACCTCGCGAATTAGTCATAATTAAGATTTAAGGATAACCCTCATGGCCCTGACTTCAAGGAAAGATGAATGTTTTCATTAATCTCTGTACAATTATGACGGTCCATGATAATGGATCTATAATTTAATTTTAATCCTGTGTAAATCCTTAATCCTGTGTAATCCTGTGTAAATCCTGTGTAATCTATTATTACATAATTGAAACAATGAAATAAAATTCAAATCTTGTTACTCAGATAATATATTTACGTAAGTATTATAGATACTAGCAGGAACCCGTATAACCCTGAAATGGTGTCAAGACTCAAGAAACTAAAATAATTATTACCTATTTAATTCGAGTTTTTGAGGGGTCCAAATCTTGGGCTCTAAAACTCCTGCGATTATGTGTTACTGACTCAGCGGGTTAATAATCCTACCCTTTTTAACTGCGGCAGTGAAATCCCGGCCGAAGGGATTGAAAGTTAAACCGACTTTTAATTAACGGGTTAAAGTATATAACATATTCTAAACATTTTTTTGCATTAATGTAGTCTTAATAAACGAGTTTGTTGTCTTAATGTTGTTTTAAGTGAATTTTTTGTCTTAATGTTGTCTTAAATGAGTTTTTTGTCTTAATGTTGTTTAATGTTGTCTTAATGTTGTCTTAATGTTGTCTCAATGTTGTTTTAATATTTTATCATATTTTGTTGTCTTATCGGTGTTTGTTATCTTAATGTTGTCTTATTGCTGTCTTATCGTTTGTTGTCTTATTGGTGTTTGTGGCGTTAATGTTGTCTTATTGTTGCATAGGTGTTCGTTCAAGTGGCTTAGATATGAATTTCATTTATTATTGTAGCTAACACTGTTCAGAAATTTCTGTTTCTGTTAAGTTGTTGATTACATTGAGGACTATACTATTAGAGAGTTAGAACTGAGTCTTAGAAAACTGTTGTTTTTATATATGCAACTTGTTTTGTGGTTTCTAATTTCTGCTTTCTTTTTTTGGAGAGGCGAGACAATATTTTCTAACAAGCAGCAATCCAGGCGAAGATTGGCTTATTGCCAACGCCTCCTTTCACCCATATGCCGTACTAATATTATTTTATAGTTTGCATTACGATTGTGCAACTATACTTTACTCCGTTTCCTTGCACAAATACTCAACGTTATATTTGTAACACCTTTTACCAACACGTGAGATGTATCCTTGACATCACAATGCTTGGCTCAGAATCTGTGTTCAAGTAGTGTCATACTGCACTTTACTACTTTATCAGACTGGTAATAAGACACCCCAATGTGTAATAAACTGATAGAATTATAGGATGATAGATCTTTAACTTTACATAAATATTACTTCCTGGAGATTATTCGGTATTAGCTAAGTTATCTAACCATGATATAAAACCATTGTATATCCTATATCACAACTTCATTCAGATTCAACGGAGGTTAGTCATCCAGCGTCATAAACGTTTGCTTACACGGTATTGTTCAAACATCATGTGGACACAACATCATGTGGACACAACTCACTTCACCTTTTGTGAACGTTCCTAATTAATCAAGAGATTTCTAATTAATTGGTTACTAAAAATTAAAGAAACCCTACCTCTCCAGATATGTTCTCCGTGATAACGGTAAGTGGATCAGACCGTGGTTCAGTTATACTGATAACAGCTCACGATACAGAACCTGCTATAGTCTTCAAACACCTGTCTGGACGGGAGAAAAACAAGGAGTATAGGCTGGCCCAGTTCATCAAGGTTAGAGCTAAAAAACTTATACAGTTGTTAATTTCCGGGTGGGAACATTACGCTTTCCTTTTTATTTATTCAGTCATCAGCATGACAAACATTCTTAATTTTACCCAGAAATGTTAACATTGGGATTTCATCCTAACAGATTCTATTCAGAATCTGGCTCGTAAACATGATTATTTGTTTTTGTTTTACTTTAAGTTTATTTGTTTTGCAGGTAGACAAGTTGACTGCGTACGAAGTTAGTTTAGAAGCGTTATCAGGGGAAAGCTATCACTTTATCACCAAACGTCCAGATGCTCTTATCAGGTAAATCTAGAGTAAGGGTGTTCAAGTGAAAATAAGCTGGATGACCCTATATCCTGGCATTTTATAACGTGATAATACACGAATGGATGCATTTTGTACCTCAAAATATTTTTGTCGCGTCGACCGAACGTTTTTATAAACGAGTTAAAACCCAAATTGGATGTTTTTTTCTAGAAAAAGACCTAAAACTCGGAAAAATGCCGCGGGGTATATCTGAAATAAATACGTTTGCGTGCTGTGACTATGAGTATTATCAATATCAAAACCCGGGACAACCTATTTATTTCTCACTGTATTTTGTATTTACCCTGTAAGTGTAAGTTTAATTATATTTGTAGAAATCTGAAAATAATGTAGTATGCAGTATGACAATGATGCAATTTTCAGAAAGCTTGAAAGTAGACAAGTGGCTGAAGATTTGAGTCAGTCTCTGCCAACCAAATCACGTGAGTCTAACGAAACATTCATAATGTATATTACAGTATACTGTCACTGTGATTAACGAATATTTGATATTTATGAATATCAAATCCTGACATAAATGCTATATTATGTTGGTGAACACGATTAACGCATGGTATTTGAAATCTCCTGAGACCAAACACTTCAAGATCCCCTTACTCATATTTAATCTGTTGTATCCCAGATGATAACAACACAGACCAGTATGCCAGTAGACAAGGCTACACCCCAGCCTTCATGTCTGCTCGTGAAGTGGCTCACGTTCCAGTAGATTACCTGTCAATGAACGACCTTAATACCAGACAACAACCAGCTCAACCCCCTCCTCGACCAAACGTCAGACCTCCCGCTCCAATGCCTTACTCCAGGACACCAGTGGACCCATCCCAACCATCTCCAGAAAGACCTCCAGAAAGACCTCCACCCCCCTCTCCTGTCCCTCCTCGCAGACCTGCTCCACGTGTTCAATCAGGCCCGGACTACTCCTTCCCTACCTCGACGGGAGGGAGGATACCTACTCCGGACTACATACCAATGGATCATCCTTCATCTGGTTTTGAAACCCAAGATGATTACCTTTGCATGGATCAGATGACAATCAAAACTGACCCTGATTACTTGATTATGGATAAAGGGTATCAAGATCCCCTGATAGCAGATTATCTTACTATGGATGATATTGATATGGATCAGAATCGTCAGAAGTTTGATGATTACCCTACCAACGATAGACCAACCGGTGAGATTATTCAACTATATCTTTTAATCAAGTTACTCTTATGATAATTTCAAGCTCAGAATTATGAGCACTGCGGATTAACCCGATCATTTATGAAAATATTGTAGATCTTGGTGTCAACTAAACCTTATTTTTATTATCTCGATTATCAAATTGCATTTTTAATGAATTATACCATCAGATTCCAACATTGCATTTGATGACGACGATGACATCTACTTTGACCCTAGTCTAGCCCCGCCACCTGTTCCTGTCCGGCTTGACAACAAGCCGCCTACACCACCGCCACCACCAAGAACTGAGAACTCATCTTATTTATCCGGTAAGATTAGTGGCTCTTTTCATATATGCTGCCTTTTGACGTGTAAATTCTGCAGTTAAGTGAAATGCTAAAGTGGTTTAGAACATATTCGTAATGAAACTGCGGTTAGAAAGGACGTTAATTAACCAGCCCACTGTACTGGTGATAGAAGCAACCGTATTAATTGTAAATTAACAATAAACACAATTTAACGTTCAGTTGGACATGTTATCGTTTCTAATTTTGGGAAGACTTATTTAATTTTGTATAAGTGTTACAAAAACGAACTGCTTTATCACATGATGATTGTCTGAGTTGATCGATCGGATAGGATGATCCTATTTTTTCTGAATTACTAAGGGTATCGTGACTTCATGCCTTAACCATTTAGTCAAGAAAATATTTGAAAATTGAACACCAATGTATCAGTATCACCAACATTATTGGCCCTTATTAGGCGAAATTCGGATCCTGTGGCCGTATGTACAGGCGCTTTTACCAGTCAGCTTAAGGGCAGAGACATTAGGGCTAATAAAAGTGGCCTAATTACCTTCCAACTGCCTCGCTGAAACTTTGTGGCACCCATTTTTAAGGTCACTAAAAAACAAACAAAAACTGTCGGGTACTTTTTCCGGTGCCCGGGATATGGTACATTTTGCTCCCAAATCGATTTATTTTTCGTAAATTCAGGAAAAAAGCGCCAGGACCCTCTGATGTCGCCCATCATGCAGCATCTCCCACAAATATTCAATACAACTGAATCACAGCAAGCACAACTAAACACACAGATCCCAAATCACTTAGAAAGAAATCCAAAACTACGTAGGCCCTGTAACATCCTCTGGTGATACAGGAGAGGATGATCGAGACCACATCAGTCACACTGAGGTTATCGAGTTGATGAAAAAGCTTCGTGAGAGAGGCTCACGGAGGTCCGTGAACTACCCCAGTCCCAGACGAACTTGTTGTGAGTCCTCGTAATGTTATGTATGTGATGAATGTGTACTGACATACTGCATGTTTATGTTCTGACATGCTGCATGATTGCATGTTCGGAATGTTTCATGTCCTTTCAAAATTTGAAATTTCGACGCTGGATTGAACTTGTTTTATTAGAAACCCGAGACGTCTTTAACAGGTGTCCAATACTCATCCTTGTGGTATACACATTTGGTGTTGTTAACATCATTTTTTTTATTTATGTCTTCATACATTTTTTTAATCATGTGATATTGGTGAAACAACTGGTTATATTTAAGTTGGATTACTTTAATTCTCTGTACATGAATCTACAAATACCAGATTAAACAAACGTAGATCCACCGGCCTAAATGGGGCAGTTCGTTTCATCTACAACATACAAGATAGAACCACGGAAATAGTTCCCTTCTACAAGAAGTCCCACATACTCCCTATAGACGGAGACCAGCGAAATGTCTTTCTATTAACCTACACATCAGTTCACAGTATTGCACCTAGTTACCTCAAAGCATTACTGGATGTGGATGTAGTTGATACAGAACTTTCAAACACCATGACCAGGTCGAAGAGACCGGGTGACCATCTCTTGCTGAAGATACCAAAGAATAAAATGTCCAAAGTTGATGACAGACGTTTCTAAAGCCATGCACCGGTTGCATGGAACTCTCTTCCGACTTCCACTGATGTTGAGATGTATTATTGATACCAACTGTTTCAAGCGAATGTTAAAGAATCATATAATCAGTTGTGATGTTTTTTCTTTCCATTGTTCCAACACACCTTGGCTTTTATTTTTTACCGCACTCCATTTTATGTCTTGATCTCTACCTTTCTAGGATATGTTTCTCTTTTGGTTGATTATGTCACTGGACTAACCGTTTTATACCTACATGTATTATATGGTTTCTACTTCTTTTTAGTTTAGTGTTGTTTACAATAAAAGATGTTTTAATTTTGTCCTAGCCTTATAATGAGTTATACTTTTGTTCACTTTTCCAAATTTGCTCACATCACTCACAGTCAGCTGCTCTGACATGGTTGACCACTTTCCTTGTGTTGTTGGTTAATTATATGAGCGGGGTATAAATAGCAAATTATAAATACCTCATTTCATATTCAACCATCAAGTGGTTAAACAATATTAAAATTATTTTTTTTACAGTTGATTGTGATTAATTTTCCCTTTGAAATTACTCAAAACCCTACCTGATGCTAATAATACTATTACTACACCGATGGCGAAGCACAGACCTTTTGCTTCATGTCGTTTCTCCTGAGGGGTTAAAATCATATTTAAAACTACGCAATACGACATAGGCTCTAGGTTTCGTAAGGGATTTTTCACGTTGGGATGCGAAATGGCTGTTACAAGTAACAATCAGTTCACCTTCTTGTAGTTGTCACAATCTCAAGCGTGTAAATTTCCCAAATATCATGCAAATGACGCCAGGTATGGTGACAGAACCTCCTCCTCCTCCTCCTCCTCCTCCTCCTCCTCCTCCTCATCCTCCTCTTCCTCCTCCTAGTACTGATCGTCCTTCCCTGCATGACAACCCCTCTCTTGGGTGCAGACAAGCACTCAATATACCTACGTTATACAGTAATTTGCTGTGTTCAGATTTATATACGTCACTTCGTTGATTTTTTACTGCTTTCATGTTTGATTATGCTACATGTTTAATTGAGTAATGAGTACTTGTAAAATTATTATGTGCGATAAATTTGCAACGATGATTACAGAGACGTGAAGATCCACTTATCTTTTCAAGCTGTCCTCAGTGTTTGATAAATAGTTTGATTTTGAATGATTTTAGGCATTTTTCATATTGATTGTCCGTTTCTTAATCTAATTTATAAAGCTGCCAGCTAAGGTTTTGCAATTTTTCGACTGGTTTTGTTGCTAAATTACGTGATGACGAGAAGCCATTCATTTGAGTTGACCTTGCCTGAAAAGTACTGAAAAGTACAACATACTGATATCAGTCAACGCTTTTCCAATAGGTCGACAAGAGTGTTGATCGACTTTTTCCACTGACGGTTCCAGCTATGACGCCCAATATTTCACCCTATCCCTTTATAGGCGAAGTTCAACTACGAACAAGGAATACTGTATCGGAAAGTGGCAGAGCGCCAGCAATTAGAAGACATTCAGAACTCCCTCCCTCTACCATCTGGCATCAAGCCAACATTCCAAACTTCTTACCTCCTTCTCCTCCTCCTACTGATTATTGTAACCACTACATGTTATCCTCGTCATTTTTGTATTTGTCATTTAAGGTCTTATATTCATTGGAAACTCCTGCCTAAAATAATTTAGGAATTTAGAAATAAGTCAACATTTATGTTGGTCCTAAATAATAACTATAAGTATAGATGGATGGGAAAAGCGAGCAACCAATTTCGTTCTCGATATCTTATTTTGCATGCATTTGAGAACGGTAATTTAAAATGATATTTATTTTTTCATTTGGAAAAACGGTCCAATTTTGGGCTTTGGTTTAAAAATATCATTTCTTGTTAGTTAATGTCAGGAACCTTTGCAAATTCAAATTTTAAAACTGAGACTTTCCATAAAAAGCGAGGTAAGTTTTACGATAATTTTACCTATTAAAACATTCGCATGTGTTTGCTTACCACCACTGTGACAACCTCTTTCCTCAGCAGAAGTAGAGATTAAACCACGACCCGACACCTCTCCTTCTCGTCACCCACCCCCTCCGTCACGTGACCCTCCGTCACGTGACCCTCTGACACGTGACCCTCCGACACGTGACCCTCCGACACGTGACCCTCCGTCACGTGACCCTCCGACACGTGACCCTCCGACACGTGACCCTCCGTCACGTGACCCTCCGACACGTGACCCTCCGTCACGTGACCCTCCAACCCCCGCACGTGACCCACTAGCACCTTCACGTGACCCTCCGACCTTACAGACCCCCTCAAGACCTGTTAGGAGGGTTTCAGAACAGCCTCACCACCTCCCTCGGCCTAGATCCAACTACCTAGACGACTGCTCTGTCACTGTTTCCCCGGTAACCGTTTATTGTACTGGGTCCCACATTTTATTTGATATTTACAGTACATAGTGGTTGTTTATTTGAAACATGACGCCAATCGTTTCTATCATACTAACAGTTGCTTGCATGATTTGACATTAATATTACAAAATTAATATGATAATATAAGAATGTATATATATAATATAAATATATATTATATAAGAATATTGATATAAGAAATAAATTATACTACTGTCAGGTGGAGCCAGCTCTCCCACCGAGAACGGATAGAGACCAACTGAGACCTAAAGTAATTAAAGTGGAAAAGAAGGGGAAGAAGAAGAAAGGAGATAAAAAGGTACACTTTGCTTACAGTTACAGTTCGCTTACAGTTTCGTTACAGTTTTGCATATTACTGTTAGTTTGAAGTTATTACTGTATTATTTTACACTGCATTTGCCCTGATGATTTTTAATCGGCTGGAAACACAAAACAGCTACAGAACTTCTGCCAGTATGCAGCATTTTACCAATTATTTACTACACCATTGGAGTCAAAAACAAACACTTTATCTGGGGACCCCAGGCTATTATTTCCATAAACTGTCATTCCGCCGAATAGAGATTCGGCGGAATGACAGCGCCGGTATGAGTAATCACACACTGAAATTAATAATTCGTGACCACCCCCACACAACACTTTTCCAGGCTCAACGTCCCCGTTCAGCTATCGTGTATCCATCGGAGGTCTCTCTGTCAGACGTACGAACTGCAGCTACGAACAATGTTTATTTCCCCCAGGGACCAATCAGATCCCCTCTCCCCCAGAGAGGTGGTTTTGGCGAGGGGCCCTCCCCGCCACCTTTAGCCCCAAGAAGAATGTGAACTATTTTAAACATCTAGCAGAGTCCCATTCAGACTTCCTTGTTGTTCAGTGTTCATGTTGTACTTGTATATATTTACCTGTTGTATCATATTAAGTTACTTCCAGTTGACTTTAGTCGTTAGTAATAGTTATATTATAATTAGTAGTGATATCTTCGCAATTCATTTGCGATTCGAACTTCGAGATTTTTATAAATTGACTCGCAGTCAAACCTACTCGAATCGATGCGATGCATTTTTCAACACTGATTCCGAATCACCCTCATAACATAGGGTTAAAATGCTCCCCTGGCGATCAGTTATCGGCGAAAGTTTCGATCAGGTTACATGACAATATAAGGAAGTTAGTTGAATTTATCCTTATGGTTAGGGTATAAGCAAACCCTGCAGTTAGAGATTGGGTTAAGTTACGGTTGAAGCAAAGTATACCGTAAAGGGTTATGGCTTTTAATAGTCCCTCAGGCCGTGCACAGTGTAAAGAACGTGTCTAAGTAGGTCACGTGATAGTCAAGTGCAAAGTGATTCAGATTAATCATCGTCCATTCTTTGATACTACATGATTATATCAAATTCAATTTAGTATATTATCGTGATTTCAAATTTGATTATTTCAGTGATTTTGTAACGTGTAATAATTGTAAAAATCAATGCTTAAATATAATAATAATTGTTTTAATGATCATTCATATTTTAATGTTTGACGCCCCTGCTATGCGTCTAGCAATTTTGTTTTTAATTTTAATTCTATAACTAATTCTATAATTTTGTATAAGTATAACTGTCATGAAGATGTAGCTAGGTCGGTCCGAGCAAATAGTCGTTACCAGTGTGCAGGGCCTACTTACCTGTAGTCTACAGGTAAGTGGACCCGCCGCGCACGACTATTAGCTCGGTCTCACTTGTAAGCTCGGTCTCACCTATTAGCTCAGTCTCACCTATTAGCTCGGTCTTACCTAGTTGCAATTTACATCTTCATGACAGTAATTTATGTTGAAATGAAATGAAAGCTAGCGATTGGTAATCATTTGTATCTGTAATATCTTACTATATATAAAGCGAGACGATATATATGGTTCCGTGCCATTTTACTGACACCACGGCATCAACTTTAACGCGAATTTCCGCAAAAACCGTAAAAGATATACAACTGAAGCTTTTTTGACTGGGTCAAATGCTTTAATGGCCTCAAAATCAGCATGAAAAAATGAAAAATTGGCCAAGGAATAGGAGTTTTAGAGCCTACAATTTGTGGACCCCCAAGTGGTGTCAAAAACGCGAATTAGATAGGTAATAATTATTTTAGTCTCTTGAGTCTTGACACCATTTTAGGGTTATACGGGCTCCTGTTAGTAATAATTAATTATAAAGTCAGTTAGAGTTAGATTTTACGGTCAATATACTTATGATGTTGTTTCACTTTTCATGGCCCCAAAGGTTTTGCTCTATTACGGGTAAACCTAGGATGCTGCAGATTCAACTCTGTACATTCAGACCGTCTGTGCGTGGTGAAGAGCCACATTGCTCGAAGTGGGGCTGCATGCAACTTCAGTGATGGAGTTGTAACTGAACACAGCGTATCTAGGGGTGCACCCCGAAAAAAAGCCGGGCATCCTCAGAACAAGCTCGTGATGATGGTGATTTGGGTTAATGAAGATGTAACAGATTCCGGAACTATGGGAGCACCATCTGTCATCTTTCCGTTTTATTTACTGTATGTGGGAACATCTACTGATGAAGTAACTATCAAGAGAGCCATTCCAGTGGCGCAGGTGGCTCACGTGTCACATAGCCAACAGAAAAGAAACATGATGAATAGTTCTTACAGCACTAGGGTATCAGCCCCTACTTTTGTTTCTGGACGTGAAGGTGGTAATGATTTCACCAACTTAAATCCGAATGGAAGGTTGGTGAATAATGAGCCTAATCAACCTGAAACACCCAACATAAACGAAAACAACAAAAAAAGTTTATTTTCTTGTACCGACATTACCTGGGTAGGCACTCTTAACACTAGAACGATAAGAACTGCTCAGAGGAAACTGGAGATGGTACATCTTTTCGAGAAGAGTGGAGCAGAGATTGTAGGTATCCAAGAGCACAGGATAGTCCATGAAGAGCCTGTCAAAGTAGAGAGAGTTGGCAAGAGCAGCTATCTAATTACTTCATCAGCTACTAGGAATCGGGCCCAGGCAGCAGTGGGCGGAGTGGGATTCATCCTAACTAGCAAGGCATTTGACGCAACTACGGAGATAACACCAGTAACGGAGAGAATCCTTAAGATATCTCTAAATGGTAATCCTAAACCAACCTTCGTCTGTGTCTACGGACCTACGGACGCAGATAGTGTAGAAGCAGCAGAGAAGTTTCATACCGATCTAAGGTGTGCAGTCTCACAGATCCCTGCTCACAACTTCTTGGAGGTGATTGGGGATTTTAACGCTCACCTATCAAAGAGGGACGAGAATGACTTTGGTTGGTATTTCCATGAGAGAACCAACAGAAATGGGGAGCTGCTTCGGGATACTGCCCTGGAATGCAATCTGGAGATTACAAACACCAGGTTCAGAAAGAAGCGGGGTAAGATGTGGACTCACCTATCGGATGGAACCCTGAATAAGTCTCAGTTAGACTTTATTCTAGTGAGGAAGAAGTGGAGGAAAAGTGTCAAAAATACTGAAGTCTACAGCTTCTTTAGTACACTGGGTACTGATCATAGACTTGTTTTGTCTAAGATCAAGCTATCTCTTCGACGAGCAAAAAAGCTACCCAAGAAAACCTGGTATAATTGGGGAGCACTTAAATCGGATGAAGACCTACAGAAGAGATATGCAGTAGAAGTCAAGAATCGGTACTCTGCTTTATGCGAGCAAACCGATGAAAGTGAGGTTACGGAGCTGTATGGGCATTTTGTTGATGCGATTGCTGATACCAACAAAGCCATACTGCCTAAGAGAGAAAAGAAGAGACGTGACGATTTCGCGTGTGATCAGCGAGTTCAAAGCGTGCGTACAGCCTTGCAGCAAGCAGAGACTGTCTATCACCGGGATCCTAGTGAAGACAGTCGACTGTCTGTTAAGCTACTAAAAACTGAACTGGATCAGGTGTACCAGGACATCTTTGAAGAAGATCTAGTTGCCAAGGTTAGAAGGGTCGAAATGGCTGCAGACAGATGCAAAAACAAAGAAAGTTGGAATGTCATAAATGAGATAACTGGCAGGAAGGCCAAGGGGGCAACTCAAATAAGGGGCAACGGAGCCGAAGAAAGGAAGAAAAATTGGCTTGGGCATTTCACGAATCTGTTAGGGAGTATACCGGATGTGGAAAACGAGCATCCTAGGATCGAGACTCAATTTGAAGGACTCAACATCAGTACAGAACCTTTTACTGTCAATGAAACGAAAAGTTTTCAATGAAACGAAAAGTTTTATTTTACATTCCTTTAATCATAAATAAAATAAGAGCTTAAACCACGAATTAGTTAGCTAGAAGTAAACTTGAGGAAATATTTTTGGTGATTGTATATAATTATTTAAAAAACTTTATTTGGTTGTTAGTATTTTTATTATGGTAAGTGGTTGAATTTAGTGAGACAAGGTCAGTTTCTCTATTATCTTAGAAAAATTTCTACTTTACAGTAGGCAATGCTGAGTGGCAGGAATGAGGGACTGTGGATGAGCTTAAGGCTGCTAAACACAGGATAAAAGAAGGTAAAGCACCAGGTGATGACGGCATACCACCTGAAGTCCTCAAAAGATGCGACCTGGATGAAATCGTGCTGTCCTTTTGCAACAAAGCCCTGACAGATGGTATTGCGCCAGATCAGTGGAGGATAAGTAACATCATCCCGGTTCCCAAAAAGGGAGACTTGACCAACCCTGGAAACTGGAGGGGGATATCTTTGACTTCTCTCGTAGCTAAGACTCTTAATAGAATGGTGCTTAATAGGATCCAGCCGGCTATAGAGGGGGTACTTAGGGACACTCAGAATGGTTTTCGGGAAGGACGGTCCACTACTAGTCACATCTTGGCACTCAGAAGGATTCTAGAGGGGGCTTGACAGAGAAATTTACCGGTAGCTATGGTGTTTGTTGATTTTAAGAAGGCCTTTGATTCACTTCACCGGGGAATTTTGATGCAAACACTAAAGGCCTATGGAATACCGGACAGTATTGTAGATATCATTAATCTTCTCTATGTCAACACGAAGGGCAAAGTTATAACACCAGATGGGGATACCGAGCTATTTGATATCCTGGCAGGAGTTCTTCAAGGGGATACATTAGCACCATACTTGTTCATTATAGCCCTTGACTATTGCATGAGACAAGCCTTAAGCAAGCATCCTGAAATAGGATTTACCATTAAGCCTTATCGGAGTAGGAGAGTCAAGGCGGAGAAGATAACAGACACTGGTTTTGCAGATGACATTGCTCTGATAGCAGATACTGTAAAGGAGGCAGAGATGCTGATGCTAGAGGTAGAAAGAGTTGCTGCTACAGTGGGACTTAAAATGAATGAAGGGAAAACCAAATTCATTACTCAGAACATCGAGAACCCTGATACCATCATTGATGGTATCAGGGTTCTCGATGTTCTGAGTACATTCATTTCTTTACAGGATCGCTGCCGGCTCAACTTTTTTTTTTTTTTTTTTTTTTTTTTTTTTTTTTTTTTAAAGAAGGCAACCTACTAAAACCAATGGGGCCCTCCCCGGGGTCATTACTCTCGCATTTGCGAGAGTCGTCCCAAGGGTGTGAAAGTAGGTCAAGATTTGTTCACACCAAGCCGGCTCAACTTGGAAAGACGGAAATTGGCCCGCTCTGCCACGCCCGTTGGATAACACTACAGAGTCGAGTATTGAGATTATATATGTCTGCTGGGGTACCTTCGTATTTAATGCCTAAGTTAAGAAAACTGTCTACTTATATTGTGAATATTTATTTTCCAATGCACATGTTAATAAAGTATCGCAGTTCTTTAGTTAATGGTTCAGTAAATCTGTTTAAGGAAATAAGTTTAGTTAAGAAGTTTATGAAAAGTAAGTCAGATTTAGATACTATTTTGGGGTGCCTTCAGACTAACAGTTATTTTGCTCATCCACACAATATTTTAATAGCAATGCTGGGAGATGATAGCTTTGAACTTAGGAAAGAGGCAGTTGATATTATATTAGATTTGAGGAGATATGGGGAAGAAAGTTTAGACTTAGATTATTATTTACCTTTGATGAATTGTGAAGCCAAGAGATATGCTGATTTGTGTAATTTAAGTAAGGTTAATGGGCGCTGGATGTATAAGTCATTTTCGGGAGATCTTGTTAGCGTAACTGAACCGCCTCTTACTGTTGGATTAGATGTGAGTGAGTTTTTGACCTGCCCATTTAAGACGGAGTTACCCTCTCACACACAGTCTGTGGAACGCCTGGTCAAACTCACGACCGACGCTTCCAAGAGGGTGTGTGGTAGGGTAAACCAAAGTGCTGAAGGCATGTTAGTTCTTTTGGGACGTAAGTTGAATAAGTAATTATTGATGAAAAGCTAGTTATTTATTTGCTATGTTCAAGTTTATTCGATTAATGTTATTATCTGAGTGTAAATGTCGCTATAAATCAGTACAGAACCTGTTTTCTAGTTGTTGACATCACATGTGTTTCTTACTTGACAACCCTAATTGACTACATAAACTGTACCAACCTGCAACCATACTCATGGATTCATGGAAAATAAAAACCCGAGAGAAAGAAATCCGATATATCCGTAACCATGGAAACTACCATGGATCAAAAATAGACAAATAACTTTGTAGGAACACTATAAGGGTCAATACCAAACGATTCCGACCTGTTTTGGGGCAATCCGACGAGTTTTAGAAAAAATTTCATTTTTGTTCATTCCGTTCATTCCATGACTCAGGGAGCCTCTGGCGACAATTTTGACGTCAAAATAGTTGGTAAATACATCCCCCTACGCCGTACAACCATTTCCAGCACTCTGAAACTACTTTAACAGACTAAAATGACCTATCAAAATGCCTCAAAAACCGTATCATCTGGTTCCACAATCTCGGATTCATCTTCTGTCGCGTCTGGCGCAGTGGTGATTAATCAAACAAAGTGTCATATTGTTTCGCGCGGTGCACGAACGATCGTCCTAACGCACGTGGCAGTTTTTGGAAAAAAAAAAGAAAAATGAACGTGGCCGAACGGTCCTTAAAAATGAAAATTAAGTCTTATCCCTTGGCAGATGTGTCCATGATGAAATTATTGATGGCCTGGTGGTAGGGCCTATAGGGGTTAAAAAAAATAGGCGAGCCCTAACCATCAAGTCCCTGGGTAACAACACAATAGAGCACGTGGAAGACTTTACCTATCTTGGTTCTAGAATCAGAGACAGTGAGAGTGATATCAGGGTTAGGAAAGGAAGAGCATGGGGAGCATGCCACACTCTCAAAAAACTTTGGAAATCTAACCTTAGAAAGTCTATCAAGACCAGAGTGTTCACAGCACTAGTCGAGTCGGTGCTTCTATACGGTTCTGAGACTTGGACTATGACGAAAAGGCTGGAGAAGATGGTTGATGGTTGCTATACGGACACCTTCATTTGAGTTTGAGGATATTGGTAAATAAAAATGATAGCGTTTTCGACGATAGTGGCTTAATTTTGACATCTATTAACCTAGCACGTTCAGAAGTTCAGAACATTAGCCACGTATCCCATTCTCCCATATGTACTGCTCAGAAAGAAAATCTATTGTTGTTAGGCACTATAATGTTTCAAATGTCACATTTTGTGTGACTTAGTTAACTGCAGTTGTCTAATTGTCATTCCTTGGTCTGAAATATAGTAGATTGGGTCAATCTAACAATTATGATACAACATTGATTAAAGGGCACGGATCGAACGGTTACAAGGCAATATTTGGGTAACTTTGTCACACTCAGAATACCATACCTCTATTCTACTGTGAGGTGTCCTAAAAAACCCTTTTAACTCATTATTTGATGGTTGATATACCAATCATAGCCCTAAAATATGTTGTTTTGAATAGTTGGCTAATACAGGCACTTGGTTTATGGGAAATTATGTTAATTCTGTCACAATATATGGAATTTTAAATTTTGGGCGAATTATTTATATCTGATGTTGGTTTGAAAGGCGGGAAAACTTTATATGATGACAATGTAGTTGATGCAAGTTAAGATCAGTTGATGTTTAAATTGTCACAAAAAATTATACGAAATCGTAAATAGGTTAAAAACAAAGATTATAGAATGAAATATTAGTCTCTTATAATAACTCTTATAATAACTGATGTGACAAAGTAAACATGTCTTGCCCCTATTTTGAAGATCTATATATTATTCTATAACTATATTAGAATTCAACATTCTTTCAAAAAATTGGTAGAATATTGTCCAGAACATCAGAGCTCAAGTTTAACAATTTTAGGTTAAATAGTTAAATATGTCAAAGTCGCAAAAATGTGACAAAATTAACTTTCTTTCAGAAACGATTGGTAGAATATTGTCCAGAACATAAGAGCTCAAGTTTAACAATTTTAGATTAATTTGTCAAAGATATTGAAAATGTGAGAAATTTAACTGCCCCAACAATATCAAGATAGTGTGTTAAAATTGGCATAGGATGCTTTATTACCTATATTAATCGATCCAAACTACAAAAAAGATCTGTTAATCTGATGACGATTACTTAACTCTTATAATAACTGATGTGACAAAGTAAACATGTCTTGCCCCATTTTGAAGATCTATAACTCTATTAGAATTCAACATTCTTTCAGAAACGATTGGTAGAATATTGTCCAGAACATCGGAGCTCAAGTTTAACAATTTTAGATTGATTTGTCAAAGACACGAAAATGTGACAAAATTAACTTTCCCTGCCCCAACAATATTAAGATAGTGTGTTAAAATGGGCATAGGATGCTTTATTGCCTATATTAATCGATCCAAACTACGGAAAATATCTGTTAATCTGATGACGATTACTTAACTCTTATAATAACTGATGTGACAAAGTAAACATGTCTTGCCCCTATTTTGAAGAACTATACCTCTATTAGAATACTATGTAACTTTATCATCAAAAAAATGTCGATAAACTAGTTATTTTGCCAGCAAGGATAGGAGCTAACAGAGTTATAATAATTTTGTTGTGACGAAATTACCCTATTTTGACCATGTTGCGGTAGTTTAATTGTGACACTGTTAACATATTACCACCTGATAATGATTTATGTGACTGGTGCATGTTAATAGCAGTGTTTTTTGATTCATAGTACGTAATGTAAGGGGTTTAAGCTGTTATATCAATATTTGTTCAATTCCACACATGTTCAGATATCATCAAGATTATGTGACAAAGTAAACTTGTTTGTGCCTTCTGTGTTTTAA